CATAAAGACTTCGGAGTAATATTAAGTCACGATTTTAAAATATTTATTCATTACAGCTCAGTAGCTGCCAAAGGGTTTCGTGCGTTATGGTCACTCCGCTGAGCATTCAAACGATTGACTTGGAATTTCAAATTATGTATCCCATCTATGTAAGACTGTGGGAACAAATTTAGTGAACAGTCTTTCCAAAGTCCTTTACGTTGAGCGCTTAAAACGCCTAAACCTTCTCCCTTTGTCGTATCGTAGGATGAGAGGTGACCTGACACTGGAACATCGCATCTTTAATTACAATTCAGGTATTGATATGTCCTATCTCTTTACTCCCTCCGGCACTAAGAATATCAGAGATCATAGCGAGAAGTTTCACAAACCGCGATCTGATAAACCTGAAGGTTCGGTTTTTCTAATATAGTGGTCAATGACTGAAACGACTTACCCGAACAGGTGGTTTCACCAACACCAGTGAACATTTTCCAGGAGAAGCTGGACCTTCACCCGAAGGTAAAGTGTCAAGATTAAAACAGGTTCACCAACCTACTATTCTTATTACTGAAGACAGAGACCATTCAGCTGATGGTATCTATCGAAAAATATTTCGGATTAAAAGTCAGAAAAGATAGTGGTATTTTTTCTGAGTACTTTTCATAGTATTGTTCGTTAAATTACACATCAAAACTACTGTTCTTTCTTCCATTGAATTTTTTTAGTAAAAGAAATCCTCAAGAGTGCCGCTTTTGTCTAGTGAAGCTTATCACCTTTAATTCACGAGTGCAGATGCATAAAAACTAAAGGCACTGGTACTTATTCTTCGTTGTTGAATATAGCTTTGAGCATTGTTTGTATCCATAGGTGTTGAGGTCTTTCTGTAACTACTGAAGTCCGATTTTTTATGTTAAGTTTTTAATTATATATAAACATAAATCAAATCTACGGCGCAAGTGAAACATCGTTGTGGTAGGCCAGCATGCTGTTTCTCGTTCGACGAGGGGATGCAGTAGGACAACTGCAATAAGTGGTATCACAATGTGTGCACCGGACTCACAGCAGCTGCGTATAAACGGTGCTGTAAGCCATTATCATGTTGGTTGTGTAAAGAATGTTATTCTACTAAGTCTCTACTGATTCTCGAGGTGGTCGAACTGCTAAACATATCTAGGAAATTGTCCCCTGATAAACAGACAGCAGCAGGTGAACAGAATTATTTTTTCAAGGAAACCGAGAGCGTTATTATGAGCCCAGCTCTAGACTTAAATGAGATCATAAGGGTGGACCTCATCAGGGAAGCAAATAAGCATATGGATGTAGGCATTGTTGCAAGAAGGAAAAAGAAGCGCGCAGAGAAGAAGAAACTACCTGTAGACATTACTGAGGCATGTGAATCTGCGGGTTCAGTTCCGGATTCACATATCAATGTAATACAAACTATTGGGGATCCAAGTCTGAGCTGTTTAGAGGAAGTGATCAAGAGACAAAATAAGGTAAATGAGTGGCTCAGTCACACCTATGAAAAGAAAAGTAAGAAAACAGGATGCTACCTATGCGTTTGACGCTGAATTGAAATCAGATTGCAAGGAAGAGACGGTTTCAGGAAATAAAATTCCACAGCGAGTCAAGACAGACCCGGATGAAAGGTCAGTTATTTTTCATAAGTTGAGAGAATCCTCCGATAAGGAATCAAAGGCTAAATTTGAGCACGACCTCAGCCATATTAAGTTCTTAATAAGCAAACTACTCCCAGATACAGTTTCAGGAGTTAGCATCTGTAAGGTTTATAGAATAGGACAAAAGATAGATTCTGAAAGTACTCAGAAAAGCCGCCTCTTGAAGGGCACCTTTGCTAGGGTTGAAGAAAGAAACATGATACTAGGTAACTCCCCTAAACTGATCGGATCCGGAATATATATCAGTGAGGATCAGCCTAGCTGATCGTATTAAGAGACGAGCTGCAGAAGTGAAAATAAAGGAGCGCGCCGAAGTGGTGAAAGAAACTTCCTTCTTAAGGGTTTCCATTTTGTAAAAGTTCCGAGAAAAACGATCTCCAAACCACTCTGGGTGGCAAGGGAAAGTTCCCCACAGATTTAAATATGTGCTACACAAATGCTCACAGCCTACTAAATAAAATGGTGGATAAAGAAAAAACCGGACGCTATTGCTGTCTCAGAAACATGGGTAACATCAGACGTATTAGATAATGAATTTCAGTTGACTGCTTTTTTATCCAGTAGAGCTGATAGTTTAGTCCGTTAGGGAGGTGGGGTTATCCTGTAAACGAAAAGTAAATTAACCATACCAGCAGTTGAGACAGTGGCACATGATTTATAGATACGTGAACTGGTGCGATCCAAGCTGGAATGTAGACGGCAAGATATTGAATTAGTTGTAGCATATCGTGGTCCAGAATGTGTAGTAGATGATGTCCTCCTAAGCGAACTTAGGTCCTGGTGTATTAGGGGTAAAAGCCATATAGTAGACGACTTTAATGCATCGTATATAAACTGGGTCAATTTAGAAGTAGGGTAATCGATAACGCCATTCGACTGCAAACTGTTAGAAACCTCAATTACTTTAGCTTTATTCCAAAACATTAGAAATCCCTTAAGATATGACTTAAGAACCTCCTCCTCTTCGCTTTTGGATTTAGTCCTCACACACGGTGATGACGCCAGTCAAATTAATTTTCTCCCACCACTAGGGAGGAGTGACCGTGCAGTCATATTATTCAAATTCATGGCTGAGATTGCTTGTCAAACAGTTGCGCTGGCCCGTTTAAATATATGGAAGGCAGATATGGAGGCAATCAACTCCTCAGCATCAGCCGATGACTCGGAAATTGACTCAAGGGCTTCTGTACAAGAGGTATGGAACTATTTCAGGCAGTTATACAATCAGGCAACTCAACCATACATGCCCTGGACAGTCCAAAGGAAGAAGAAACACGGTCATTTCTGGATAGCGTGGGTTATTAAACGTTTACTGAGACAAAAGAAGAAATGTTGGAATGTTACTATCAGCCTTGGTACAGCAGGTACGATGGAACGCTGAAGATTGGTAAGAAACACGTTTATAACTAAAATTCGGGAAGCTCAAGGGAAATATGAAATGCACTTGGCACAATCTTCGCTCAAGCAGCCTAAGAGAATATTCACGTACATAAACTGCAGAACAAGGATGCATCATTGGATTCCCAACCTAATTAAAGAATGAAGTGAATCTGAAATGATAAAGGAAGATCAGGAAAGATTAGATGTTATGACCAACTATTTTGAGGCAGTTTTCACTCAGGAACCTCCTCTAGACAAAGAACCGAATCCAAATACATAGTCAACAAACCACTTGCTCGCGGTGGACTTCGATCAAGACGATGTTCTCAATGCTCTTAGCACCTTAAACATGGAAAGGTCAACAGTACCAGGTGAACCACACCCCAAAATCTTGAGACTTTTTGAACAATATATCGCGGCTCCACTAACTGTGATATTCAACATGTCGCTTGGCCTAGGTGTGTTACCTATGGACCGGAAGGACGCAACTGTCACTACCATACATAAAACAGGACCAAAACAACTTCCAACGACCTCGCTAGCGTTGTAGTTAAAATATTAGAAAGAATAATGGCATTTGTGGAAACAAAAACCCCTTAAACGGCAAACAACATGGTTTTGGAAAGGATTTATGTTGTATAAAGAACCTCCTTACAGCAAGGGAATATTGGATAAAGGCTCTAGACAACGGAAACTCAGTGGATGTTGTCTACATTAACTTCAGTAAGGCTTTTGACAACAAATAGACTGCTACTGAAGTTAGAAAATCTTGGTATAGCCGGACCTCTTTTAAAATAGCCCAAAGATTTCCTAGTAGGTCGTAGACAGAAAGTAAGAATAAATTCCATGTGCTCTAGCTGGAGACCAGTACTTAGTGGAGTACCTCAAGGTTCCGTCCTAGGTCCTTTACATTTCGTACTGTATGTAAATAATCTCCCAAGTATAGTACAGTCCTCAATGTTATTATACGCTGAAGATGTGAAAATCTGGCGCAGACACATGTGGACTTTAAGCAGACTTAAATAATATGATTAACTGGTCTAAAGAGCGGCTGATGCTTATCAACGCAGCAAAGTGTGTCTACATGCACTTTGGGGATGTAAAGGTTAATACGTACAGCATAGGTAAAGTGCCTATACCACTGGTCCGGTCTAATAAGGATCTTGGGGTGACAGCGAGTCATGATCTTAAGACCACGAGTCATTGCCGGGAGGTCGCAGCTAAGGGGATTAAGACCCCCTGGGCATTAAGATGGACATCCACTAAGTTAGATACTACCATATTCACTACAGTATACACAACGTTGGTTAGAACTAAACTTGAGAACTGCGTTCAGGTTGCAATCCCCTGTTTAAAAGGTGACTCGAATATCCCGGAAAAAGTACAAAGAGCGGCTACACATGCAATTCCAGAACTCCAGGGTTTACCATACAAAGAGGGGCGGAAAAACTGGACCTCTTTACTCTGTCCTACCTCAGACTAAGGGGTGATCTAATTTTGATGTATAGAACACCGATAAGTGATTTTGGACCTAACTTATTCTTTCTTTTTCTTCCTACTAGATCGGGACATCTCAGAGGACATAGGAGGCGAGTTGAAAGGCCAAGAAAGAACAAAATACTTGTGTCAAACTGGTTTTCTCACCGAGCTATAAATACTTGAAACCTGCTGCCCGAAGCAGTGATGTCCGCATCTTCAAATGACTCTTTCAAGCGGAGACCGGACACTCACAGAAACATACTAGAAAAGGAATAACATAGCCCATAGGGCTTCTGTTCTTACTACACAAATCTGAATTTGAGTCAGTCTGATCCAATGGTATTTAGTGCTACCGTATAAAGATAATAATTTTATCTTTCAACTCATGAAGAAAAAAATTAACTAGAATTTTTCATTACATTTTATTTGAGCTGTTGAAAATTTCTATGTTGAATGGTGTTTAAATATACCTGTTTGTTTGTCTGTTTACCACTCAGCCGGTAGCCATTCGCCTTAGCCGCCATGAAACGGGACAACTCAGGAAACAACCAAGATGGTCCTCCGTCAAAATTCCAACGTTCTTCCGTTGATTTAACAAATGTTTCCATCAGATTTCTTATTCCTGGGAGGGCTGCAGGGATAATGATTGGGAAGGGTGGGGAAAATATCAAAAAAATTCGATCACAGGTTTGTTCTTTCATAATTCATTTAGTGACTTGCTCAATCGCTGTTTTGGCACCAACTGACTCGATTCTTTGTTTTATATTCTTTACGGTTCCTCCACCTTCCGGACACTTACTCGCTGAATCTGGTCAATCTCCTCTGATAACCCAATGGTTTGGGTTGGTACCACATGCCTGCCTTATTCTCAAACTGATGACTCTGGCTCACTGAAACCGGCCCTGCTTTATCCCATTTATTGTCTCAGTATAACGTCAAGCTGAATATTCCCGACAGCAGAGGCCCTGAACGGTAGGGTAACCCAGAAACTTAATGTCACCTTGATGTCTATTCGGTCGATTAATTAGTTTGCCTAAATTGTTATTTTCATGTTTTTGGTTCATTAATGTATTTGTAAAGCCCTTTTTGGATATGATTTGCAAAGTCATTCCTGACTGCTTAACTACCAGCTAACCCACGAGTTACTGTTGTAACTGGAAACCCCAGTGACTTAGTCATTCATTGAATTCTATTGTGTAAAAATCTAGACAAGTTTTGATGATAACCCTCAGACGGTTGTCTAGTTCTCCGAGCCCTCCACGACTGTCACTATATGGAAGGGTGTCATGAGCTTCGTTATACGATTAAAGTTTTTGTTTTCTTCCTTCTTTCCCATCCTAACTTGCTTTTTCTCCGATAGGATAATGACTATCGAAGGTGACCTGCAGGCTATCTGCAGCATCATGCGCGATGTTTGTCCGAAACTGAAGGTAAGGTGAACTTAATAAAATTGACTTCAAAGGATATAATGAATGCCAAACTTTCCGACCCTAAACGCATAATGGGTGCCCAAGGATCTCGACGCCGCCCGAGACGAAGTGAAGATCCAGAACGAGATGATGAGGAAGACGAAAACATGATTGACTTCAGAATATTAGTGCACGAAAGCCAAGCTGGGTCTGTAATCGGTCGAGGCGGTGAACGTATTAAGGACCTTCGTGATGTAAGTTTGTCGACGTTTGCTAAAACATGAAATTTAGAAATACAAAATGCGTGTTATCAAGGTGTACCAGATGTTGGCTCCATTATCTACTGACCGAGTTGTACAGATGGTTGCTGACCCAGACAATGTCGTCCAATGTTTGAGAGCTGTGATAGAAGCAGTAGAGGTAAGTACATACGTTTAGCTCGGTCATTTCTGCCCCCCCAATCGGCTCCCACAATCAAATCATTGGTAACCACAAACCTGGGTCTGTTGTCCTATGGTCGTACTGTCACGATCCTATCGACAACCAATTGCACTCCACACTTGCGGTGTCAGTAAGCAGTCATACTTCCAAAACTAAGAGTACTGACGAACGGTGTGTCGCACTAACATCTGAGTGTTGTGTCACGCCTTTGAGTGCATTGGCTGACCTTTTGTGGTGTGGGTGCATTCACTGCATATAGTATTAGCAGTTGCTTGGTATTTATTGTGTTGTTTGTGCTCCTGACAATGTTGTGTTTTGTACTTTTCAGTCTGCTCCTCCTCGTGGTCGCCGTGAGGATTATGACGCTGCCAACTTCAGTGAGGGTGATGCTCTCAACTATGGCGGTTGGTTGTCTCGAGAAGCTGCAGCAGCACTCGCTCAAGGGATGCCTCTCCGTGGACCTGGATGCATGCCGCCGATGGGTTATAACATGGGAGGTCCGTACATGATGGGTGGTGGAGACATGGGGCCGATGGGTGGCGGTATGGGCCCTATGGGAGGAGGGATGGGACCAGGTGGAGGAATGGGTCCTATGGGCGGCGGACCGGTTCCCGGAGGTCGTGGTAGAGGACCTCGCTCCGGTGGCGGAATGATGAGTGGAAGCGCGCCTCTCGCTCAAGGCCAGCGAGGAATGATGGGCTCTTCAGGCCCAGCACCTGTTCCCCCTCCTGCCGGTCGTAACAACTCTATGGGTCCTCCAGGTGGTTATAGTAGTTCCGCAGACGGAGGCTACGGTGGTCAAGGTGGATATGACGGGTCAGGAGGATTCGACAACGGAGTATACGGAGGCATTGACCAAACTGGACAGGGAGGATTCAGCGGCCCTGGATACGGTGGATCAGGCAACATGGCTTCTGGAGGTTACGGTGGGTCTGGGTATGGTGGAAGCCAGCGTGGATCGGCTGACATGGCAGGTGGTCAAAGGTAAGTCATTTCATGTTATACTACGTAACGCAACACTAAACGACCAAAACTCGTGAAAGTTTAAGTACTTTATAGGAATTAGGATCCAGCCGTGTACCTCAGGGTTGACTACGTAAAAAGAACTCACCCCGAGCTATTGTCCAACTTAGTTCGTCGTGGGCGGAGAGACTACTTGTAGTGGGTCTGAAACTCAAACTTCGACTCACCCACATCGGTTCGGGCAACCGAGTGGTACCAATAGTCCTAACAAAAATGGTGTGGCTCAAGGCCTGCCACATGGTCCTGTATTACTAGTGTGTGTCGGACTGAAGCAGAGAAGGCGGTACTTGCCGTAACCTAGCTACTGCAGAGTTGGATTATTGTTCACTCCCTCGTTCCGAGATCACAATCTTTTCCTAACAAATGTTTGTTTTCCTTGTAGTGCTTCCCGTGGCGGCACCTATGGTGGGTATGGAAGTATGGGATCTGGAGAGCATGTTGGAGGCAAAGCCAGCCAGTGGTATGGCGGATGGTCTTAAACATTTACTTGCATTTAATTTCAGTAAAATATACCTGTTAATAAATAACAATCACCTGTTGGTTCTTGATAACGTGTAGATAAGATTGAGTCCTTGGTTTGCGTGTTCATTGCAGTTAAACGAGTGCCGTTTTGTAGGTGTGTTTGACTTGAAGTTCATGTGGATGTCAGTCGGATCAGTAATCGGGGAAATGATGTTGCAGTTATTAGCTCTTGCAATCCGCTCGTGAATATGCGTTGGTAGGTCACCATCACGAAAGTAGAGTGGTCCGGTTGTTCCGCATAGATCCCGTCACAGTCGGCCGTTGGGATATATTGTGCGATAGGACGTGGTACACAGGACGGGTGCTCGTATATATACATAATCGTTTCCTATCGTTATTTTGTGTTTGTAACATGTCCTATCCAGATAAAGCTATGGCTTGTGGTTCGTCCATTTCTAACAAGATTTACCGAAGTATATTATGATATATAAAGGTTGTGTGTTCGTACAAAGCAAGGCGGGACTCAGTATTTTTCAAACTGAAAATCTGTTGGTGTTACGAATTGGCGGTGAGTTACGGTAATACCCATAATGTAGAGACAGGAACATCAATGGTTGCAATCCATTGCTTAATTGGCAGACCTACCGTCTTGGAACTAGGGTTAGGTCGCTTTCATTTTATTTACCTAGTCAGATGTGTAGAGACTATTCGGTAATGAACGTTACTTGTTTAGGTAGAACGTTGATTAGTCGACAGTGAAACTAATAAATGTTCACTTTCATAAATCTTATCAGTGGACGTGTTGAATTCGCGATACTCTCCAAGTGGTTCTCTTTATACTGTATTTTTCTTCACTCCAGGCAAATATTACTCATATAATATATTTAAGAAGCACTAAACATGATTGTGAATTAAGTAAAATTTAGGCAATAAGCATGAATAACTAGTATATTTAAATCTCGAGCATTTGTCAGATTTTACGACTTATCGACATGGTTACTGCAAATTAGCAACAGCTTAATCGTTTCTCTTCGCAATTCGACAACTACACTGCATACGATTGGTACTTCGAACATATCACTTGTTGAATTCATTGGCCACATACCTCTTTGATCAACATGGTCGTGAAATTGAAAAGTGAGCACTGTAACATTAATTACTAGTCTCTTGTTGGAAGGGAGTATATCGTCTATCTGTATATTATTATTCTGATTCTAAATTTTCTTAACCTATACACTTGGCATAATAATAATAACGTTTAACTGATCTCAGTGTGATCTAGAATTTCCTAGTATGATGAGTTGGTAGCTGTATAAAATATTTTTAGAAAGTTATGAACAAACTCGATATCTTCGTTAGTCATCACTCATTATAATTATCTCTGATTAAAGCCTCAATCAGTTGTTTGACAACCTCACATTATCAAATATATTTTTGTTTTGTGATCTCATTCGGTGAAGTAAGTCAACATATTTTGCAGTTAATTAAAAGTAAGTCAGCCAGTCGTATGCACACAGAACTTGGTAATTATATATGCATTGGTTCAAGTTGCCACACTACAGTAACATGGGGAGATGAAATTACCAAAACAATCACAGTAGCAAAAATATCAGTAGTCGTAGGAATGATTAGGTATAAAAGGTAAAAAGATATACAGTGTTTCCATATAAAATGTGGATGGAGTATAGCATAGCACCATTAAGTCTATATTTATTCTAGAATCGATAAGAGGGTGAGTATGTGATCAGTTTATCCTTGAGCAATAGTGAAACATACCTAATCCTCTGTATGACAGTAATCTTAGAGCTTAAAAATTAACAGGGTCTATCTCCTTATACTTGTTAAGTCATGTTATCAGCCCTTATTCACAATGATAGACTGGTCTAAAGAGACTATAAGTGTCATGTGCCATGTGTATTTGTCTCTCTTATCAATAAATTCAGGCTACTATATCTAAAAGGGGCTTGTCTGGACAATCTAATGACTAAGTAATACAATTCCAAAATCTGAATTCATCAAATGTTATGTAGGAAAATCTTATCAATTGATGAAGTTCTTACTTTTAAAATGAATGAATTAAATGCGGATCTATTGGTGTGACCGCGTGCTAGCTCCTCACATGACAGGAATATCTACTCGATCACAAATGAACTAAGATCAAAAACACTAGGTGGAACAATAGTTTTCCTTTCTTATTAAATTATATACTTACACATAAATTATTAGCAGAAAAATAGACGCGATTCAATATCATAAGCGATTAAAGGAAATTAGTTTTGTCAACCCCTCACTTTTTAATCGATTAAATTCTGACTGACTCAATTCTTATGCATTAGTTCATTGAACATTAAAACGTGCTGATCACAAGGTATGTGTATTTAGTTTTATTTATAAAATATCCAACTTTATTTACAAGTTATGGTAGTGATATTGATAATCATTATTGATTAATCGGCCCATATCCGCAGAAGAATCCCATAAGTTTATCCTGAATTATTGGCTGTCTTGTCTGAACAAACTATGAAGTCCAATCGCTAAACAGTGTTTAATATTTTTTACCTACATACCTGAATGCTGTCTGGTCATTGTGTAAATAAGAAATAGATACAATTATTGTAAATATAAGTTGTAATGATTGTATTAGGCAGTACATTTAACTGAAAGAACTGGTTCACAAATGTAGATTAGTGAGCAAATGATGTATTACGTCAAATATCAGGTCAATAACAATAAAGATATTAAAAAAAGACTTTTAAATCAACTAGTGTTCAACAAGTACCCATCACTACCGTGAGCAGTGGTGGGCAATGAAAGCAAAAGAGATGGAAATGGCGGCGACTATAGGTAAGACAAGACAGCTTTACAGACTAATAAAAGAAACTGGAATTAATAAGTCAAGTGTAAGTGAGATTATTTCGGAAAAAGACGATACTCTCATCTGCTCCCAGTCCAGACGTTTAGAACGATGGGCGGAACATTTCAGAGAACAGTTCAACTGGCCTTCAGCTACTCTACAACTACCCTCCATTCCCAGACAATGTGAATGGAACATTGAAGTAGGTCCCCCAACCCTTGCTGAAGTTCAAAAGGCTATAGTTAATCTGAAACGAGGAAGGGCAGCTGGTCCAGATGGACTGGCTCCAGAGGTCTTTAAGGATGGTGGTTCAATTTTATCGATTAGGTTGACTAATATTTTAGCTAAGATCTGGGAATTAGACTTTATCCCATCTGACTGGTCGCAATCACTTATCGTCCCAATATATAAGAAAGGGTCAAAATCATCCTGTGACAACCACAGAGGGATTAGTTTAACTAATATAATATCTAAAATACTAGCTTCGATAATTATCAGACGCCTAACTAAGACTCGTGAACTGCAAACACGAGAGAATCAAGTTGGCTTCAGACCTGGTCGTGGCTGCATCGACCACATATTCACCATTCGTCAGGTTCTAGAACATAGGCATACTTATCGACGTCCGACAATGGTGGTCTTTCTCGACTTAAAAGCAGCATTTGACTCTGTAGACCGCGAGATTCCGTGGCAGTGTCTGTCATTGAAAGGCGTACCTCAGAAATACATAAACATTGTAAAGGCTCTTTACTCGAACACTACTAGTCGAGTCAGAGCTTATGGCGAACTGTCATCTACTTTTGCAACCTCAAGTGGTGTCCGTCAGGGCTGTCCACTTTCTCCATTTTTGTTTAACTTCATCATAGATCTACTGATGGAAATAACTTTCACGTCGACTGAGTTCTCGGGTGTTGATCTCCTACCAGGATGTCCACTTATCGACTTAGAATACGCAGATGACATAGTCCTGTTTGGTAAAGACGCTGACAAAATGCAGTCTTCTGGTAGCACTGAGCAACAATGCCAGAATGTTTGGAATGCGCTTCTCTTCCTCTCAATGCAAGTTGTTGCTTCAGGATTGGTCTGCGTCAACACCTGAACTAAGGATAGGGAGTGAAGTAGTCGAACGCGTTGACAACTTCACTTATCTTGGAAGTCTGATCAGCCCTAATGGGTTGGTGTCTGACGAAATCTCAGCACGGATTTGAAAAGCTCGTTTGGCTTTTGCCAACTTACGTCACCTATGGCGAAGGCGAGATATCCGTCTATCAATAAAAGGACGAGTATACTGCGTGGCAGTCCGTTTTGTTTTAATTTACGGCAGCGAAACATGGCCATTAAGAGTAGAAGACACTCGTAAGCTGCCAGTATTTGACCACAGATACCTTAGAAATATTGCTGGCATCTGCTGGGATCACCGGGTAAGTAATAGTGAGGTTAGACGCAGGGTATTAGGGAATGATGGTAAATCAGTTGATGAGGTTGTGAATCTTCATCGACTGAGATGGTTGGGCCACGTGTTACGTATGCCCGAACACCGATTACCACGACGTGCAATGCTAATCGGTGTTCGGGATGGTTGGAAGAAAGTTAGGGGCGGCCAAACCAAAACGTGGCATCAGTGCTTAAAGTCACTAACTTGTAGTCTGAGCCATGTTGGTAGATGCAGACTACTTGGTTGGGGTCCGCGTGACTGTCGTAACCAATGGTTGCAGACTCTTGGTGACATGCCTCAGAATTGATCACAATGCCGTAGGTGTATACACTCTCTGTCTTCCCTTAAACTAAGAGATTAAAATAGCTTCATATCTTTCTTTCTACTAACTAATTCTTTCTTCCTGTACTATATCCTTATTGCAATCTTTCTTTTATGTATTACCACCTCTGAATTAACTACTTTTATGAATCCGGTGTCATCTTGTTGTGTTAATGAGGTATGGAAATTTGGATCGATGCATATATGTGCCTGGTCCAACGTTGTAGCTGACTTACTCTATAGGTTAAGATTTAGTGGACGCCCAAATTAAAGATAAACGGGCTGGATTCCGTAAGCATAGATCGTTCACAGATCAAATTGTGACACTACGGATCATCATTGAACAACCAGCTGAATGGAATTCGTCACTATACATCAACTTCCTTGGTTATGAGTAAGAATTTAACAACGTAGACAGGAGAACCTTATGGTGTATCTGAGAGGATCGTGAACATCATCC